TGAATGGTTTGGGCATTTGCTTCTTTTCGGCTTTCCGACAGCCCGAGACGGCCCAAGAGCCCCGAAAGATTACCCGAAAGGACTCCAGGATGGCCCCAGAACGGCCCCAGAGGCCCCCAAGCCGGCCCTAAGAGGGCCCTAAGGACGGCCCAAGAGGCCTCGAAAACGCCCAAGATGGCCTCCAAGGCGGCACCCGAGCACCCCAAGAGGACCCCAAGTCGGCCCAGAGAGGCCGCAAGACAGCTTCCGACGGCGTCAGACGGGCCGGGAACGCCCTGCGACGGGCACAGGGGCCCCCAAGAAGCCCAAAGGCCCCCAAGCGGCCCAAGAAGGCCCCCAAGATGCCTCCGAGAGGCCCCCAGGAAGCTCCCAGGAGGCCCCAGGAGTGCCCAGTGCCCCCAGAGGCTCCCAACATGCCCTATCCTCCTCCTCCTCCTCCTCCTCCTCCTCCTCCTCCTCCTCCTCCTCCTCCTCCTCCTCCTCCTCCTCCTCCTCCTCATCCTCCTCCACCTTCTCCTCCTGATCTTCCCCGCCATCCCCCCCCCCAAGTGTTCCCCGAAGGGTTTCCACAGCTGGGGGAACACATGGTCCGATAGCTTGGCAGAGCTCTGGCCACAACGTTCGGCCACATGGGCGATTCCAAAAGGCACAGGGGGCGGCGGTGATTCGCCGCAGGCGTCTTCGATGCAGGTGGTCAGACGTACGGGTGGGAACCACGAAGTGAAAACATGAGATAACCGATGTGTAGTTCAAGAAGTGGTTCAGGCGGCTACTGGTATGAATGTCCAGGCACTTTATTTCAACCGCATCAGTTCAATGAGGTGTATGTCGGAGGCGTGGCCAAGGAATACGCCGTTCATGACATTGCACTCATTCACGCGCGCAGTTTCAATGCATCAGGCGTAAAAGTGTAAGCGGTCAGGAGCGCCGGTGGGAAAGAACCAGGACCAACGATGCAGTAATCCGCGCACTTGTTCCAGTCATTGTGCTGGCAATTGTTGACGCAAATTCCCAGACGTGCGCCTGCAACGGCACAGGTGAAGTGATGTATGTTGCAGTCGTTGTTTGACGGGGTGGATGAACCAACGATGCAGGCGTGATGCTGCGGTGTGTCGTGGTTGTGGTTGCAAGCATGCAGACGCAACGATGCAGGTTTCAGGCTTGCGGAAGCGTTGGACCAGGTGCCATGGTGCATGGGCTGCACTGGATGAATGAAATGGCTTGGGATGAAGGCGGAAATGTGTTACGGCAACGGCTTCGGCGGTTGTTGATTAGACGGTTCAGGCAGCGTATAACCCAAGGCTGAAGATACTTGCTGGTTCATTTACGCATTCAAACCCGAAGGGAAACGAAGGGGTCGCGTCGAATGCTTTTGGGGGCCTCCTGGGAACTAGTTCGAGCCCACCCTGGGCCTCGGCGAGACAACGGCGCAGGCATATATTGTTTGAGCGGTCCAAGCAATCGATATGATACACGTGGTGAAAGAACACCTCAGAACACAACTCCCGAGACGCTCCCACCCTGACCGCGTCCCGCGGCCGCGGGGGCGTCCAGGACACCACGGCTTCAAGCTTAGCGCCCCCAAGGGCACTTCCCCCTCACCGCGTCTCGTGACCGCTGGGGCGCCTCTGGACACCACGGCTTCCACCTTGGACGCCCCCCGGGCACCCCCCCTTGACCGCGTCTCGCGGCCAGGGGAGCGCCCCTGGACACCCTGGGACGAGGCGAGGTGTCGCAGGCGACCGGACGGGACACGAGTGGCCCGCCCCATCGCCGGGCGGCGGGCCACGAAAACGGCCCGCCGCCCAAAACCACGCTCCTCGTCCTTCGCCCCCCCGGGCCAGCACGACGCTGAGCGCATGCCAGCGCGCAGCAGGCCCACCAGAACACCCGCGGCAGAGCCCCGGCGCGCAGGGCCCGAGCCAGGAGGGCAGCGAGCGGACGACGGAGGTGGGACGACGAGGAGCGGGGGCACCGTGCGGCGAGAGCCCCTTGCGGGAAAGGCGTGCCCAACCGAGGCGCCGCTGAAGGGAAAAGCAGAGACCCCGCCCGCCCCCCTATCCCCCCCCCCAAGCGGCCGAGAGCTCCACCGGAGCGCAGCCAGGCGCTGGGCCCAGCCGCGGGGAGGCGGCGATGGGCGCAGGAACGCAGGGAGGGGGGGGGCCAGGATGGGAGGAGGAGGAGGAGGAGGAGGAGGAGGAGGAGGAGGAGGAGGAGGGGAGGAGGAGGGGGAGGAGGGCGTCAGAGGGGCACGGGCCTTGCAGCGGCACGGCCCCGGCAGGCATGGCCTCCTCTCTGCAGCACGGCTCCGTGCACAGCCACGCGAGCAGGACCCGTGCGACGCTCCCGTGCGACGTCGCCGCGCGGAGCCGGCCCAGCGCACGCGGCGACGAATCAACCAGCCAACCAGCGGAGAACAACGTGGCAGCCGAGCCCTCCGGCGCGCTCCCGCACACAACCAGTCAACCAACCAGCCATCCTGACAGAAGGAAAGGAGGCCATCTGCACCATCTGCTGCTCTCGCAGCGCACGGCCGCGAGAACCACCTGCTGCCCTGCAGCGCACGGCCGTGACAGCCCCCCTGCCGCACTGCAGCGCGCGGCCGTGGTTGAGTTGTTATTTCTGGAGCGCTGACCATTAGTGGATTGAATTGGTCTCGGCCATCTTGACCTTCTCTTGGGGCCCTCGGGTGGCTCGATTGGGAATGGCCTGAGGCCAAGTGAAAAGGAGGGGAACGGGTGAACCTGCCACCGTGCCTGGTTTGTGGGTCAGAAGCATATTGGATACTTGGGGCCTCCGGGGGGCTTCTTGGGGCGCCTCGAAGGCTTCTTGGGAGCCTTCTGGCGGTTCCGCGGGCCTCCTGGAGTCCTGCTGGCTCTCTTGGAGCCTCTGATAGAAGGCCGTCCTAAAGCCGTCTCGGGAATCTCTTGGGCCGTCTTGGGCCCGCGTTGTGACTCTCGTGGGGCGATCCTGGAGCAGTCTTCAAGCTTGAAAGCCCCATCGGAGACGAGAAAGCGAGAAAGCGAAAAACGTAGGAAAACACAACGATGTTGTACGACTTGGGGCCCTCGGGAGCGTCCTCGCAAGCCTCTGGGGGGGCCACAAGATAACTATGTTGGGGCTCCAGGAGGCCGCAGGAGGCCCCAGGAGGCCCCAGGAGGTGTCAGGAGACCCCCAGGAGGCTTCGAGGCGGGGTCTGGGGCACCAGAAGGTTCAGAAAGCCCCAGGAGGCCCCAGGAGGTTCCAGGAGGCCCCCAGGAGGCTCCGAGGCGGGATCTGGGGTACCAGAGGGTACGTCGGGGCTCGATTTTGGGAGAATGTTTCAGGCGAAACCGCTATTCTCTGAGAATCGAGGTCAAAATGATTGAGATTACCATGTGCCTTTGAAGGTTGTATGTTAAAATGTTGGGATTCCCATGTGTTTGGGACCCTGACGTCACGATCTGCGTGAGGGGTGCCACCGATTTTCAGAATTTCGAGGATGTACCTAGCGAAACGGCAAAAAAATCGCGGACGCGGCGCCCCGCGTACGCATTAATCGCCTCTGAGCTCTGCTCCCTCGGGGAGGTGCGTATGAGAATACATATATATATATATATATATATGTATATATCTACATATACATATACAGCAAGAGCTGTCCGGTGAGCGTGGCCGAAATTCGGGCCATCGATTCGGGCAAGGGGGAAGATGCGAATCGCCCAGCGTCGCCGACACCATGAGTCGGGGATGTCGGAAAACATGCCCAAGCGCGCCCCGCCCGCCAAACGGCCCCCAAAATGGACGACCTGGGAGAGCAACAGCAGCAGGGAGGAAACGACACGCGGGGACCAGGACGAACCCAGAGCCAGGAGAGAAAGGAGGGCGAGCGCCATCTAAAGAGTGCGACGAGGGGGGGGAGGAAGGCGAAGCCCGGGCGACAGCCCGAGGGACGACACCAAGCGAGGGCGGGCGAGCGGGAGAGCAGCGACGGCGGTCACGGGTAGAGATAATATATAGTGGGGAGGCACATAATAGACATCAGGGAGCAGAGGTTAGAAATTAGAGAGTCGAGAGCACGGAGTAAAGAGTGGAGAGAAGAGATGGCCACATCTGTCATCCTCTGCTCTCGCCCCAGTATGCGGCATTTGCGTGCTTGCGGCGACCAGCTGATCGGGACTCTCTCCAAAGGTAATGTGCAACTTCCTTCCACTACTCAATATGAATACTACTCTCTTTTCCCCTGACTCTGTTCAAGGTGTCCCGCCCTCTCAGCGCACTGATTTCTCACGCACAGAGTACAAAAATTGATGTTCCCTATCATGTGTTTCATTCGGAACGCTTTCGATGCCTCAAAATGGTGTTCCCGCTGCAGCGTTGGCCTCATGTTCGGATCGGCGCTTTGTTCCCACCGATCACACTTGCGATCTCGCCCAAAGCGCGGGCCACGTTTCTGGATCCGAGTGCGTCCTCATCGTTGTCGCCCCGCTCTTTTCCCCTCCCTCGCCTTCCTCTGGTCATCCTGCTCCTCCCACTTCTCCCATTCCTGCTCCTACGGCTGCTGTGTTTCCTCGTATTCCTCCTTCCTCATCCTCTTCCTCCCCCTCCTCCTCCTCCTCCTCCTCCTCCTTCTCCTTCTGCTCATCATCTTGCTTATCCGCCGCCTCCTCCGCCTCCAATGCACGCAACTCCAATTTCGTTTCTGCGCACGGCACAACGGCTCCTTTGGGGGGTTCCAGGTCCACTACGATACCCGTCGGCGGATAGCGGAAAAATCAGCGCAATGTCAAGGGATGGGTGGGAGGGGTAGGACGTCAGATATGTCGCGAGCGCACATCGCTTGCCACCGCCTGCTCCCCCCCTTCCGCGGAAGTGGTGCTAATCCGCAGCACACGAATTCGAGCCACATCGCTCAACTCCGCCGTGACAGGCTCATCCCATAAGCCACAAACCAGACTGGCCATGCGTAAGCACAGGCGGCCACTTCCTGGCTGGGCGAAGCTGATCCGCAGCAAACGACTTCGGGCCATTCCTCTAAGCCACGCCGTCACAGGTTCTAACAAGCCACAGACCTCCTTGGCCATGCGTGAGCACGGGCGGCCATAGCTGGCTGGGCAAAGCTGATCCGCGACAGGCGAGCTCGAACGCCCCTGCTCGTCTCCGACGTCACAGGTGCACCCGAAAGAGCGCCGCAAACTGGCATGGCCATGCGTGAACACGGGCGGCCGGCTGGGCGAACACTCCTGGAGGCCGCTCCAAAGACGGTGCACCTGGGAGAACAGATAGATACCGATACAGGCACTCGCCAGACCTCTCCCGCGGTGCGCTCTAACCCGAATCTCGATGGGAATTCAGCCGCTGCGACGAGGGCTCTCCAAGCGAGCAGAGGCACCAGTATCTCCCCTGAGATCCGAGGCTGCTAATAAGGCACGATACTGCGAAAAATCACAACCCGAGCACCATATCCCGCTGCCTTTTTCGAACATGATCGATCTGTGATGGTCCTGAGCCCCGACACTGGGCGGAAACGGAAAGTGTGAAAAAATGCAACGCTCAAATCTCAAGGCCTTTCCTCCGCCGAATACCGTGCGACTGCTCGGACACCACCTGCCTGTCCATGGTCTTCTTGGTCCTAGCGGGAGAACGAACCAGGAAAACACCCGGGAGGATCGCGCTGATTTTCTTGGATCGGCGCTCTGGACCCCCCTCCCTGGCGCGCGGAGCGCGCAAGGGGCGGCGCCAGAGATTCCGCCAGGGGTGCCCAAAGGCGATCCGAGCAATCCGCGCGGACCTCCGCAAGTTTTTCAGTACGATCGAAGTGAGTACGGAAAGAATCGGCACGACGACTGACAGCAGCGCCTGCCAATTTTAAACAGGGTTCGCTGTCCGAACCACCGCGGGCGTTGTCCGATCGAGAAAGAAAGGCCGCCTCCCAACAGCGGCTGCTGTCGGCATTGGACAACGTTCGCAGTTGGGCGTCGTACCAATTCTTTCCGTAACCGTTTCTCTAGGTCTCCTAGATGGGGTCCGAGTGAATGGGGTCGGGAGATCGCGCCGCATCGCCGATGCATCGCCGATGCGGCTCGAGGTGGAATCCGATTTGCTTCACGTCGACGTCGCCGACGCATCGCCGACGTCGCCGATGCGTCGCCGCCGCATCGCCGATGTATCACCGATGCATCGCCGGTGCATCGTCGATGTATCGCCGATGCATCGCAAGTGCGGCGTGATCCTCCGACCTCATCTACTCCGACCTCATCTGGGATGCCTATCGTAAGCTGGGCGAGGGCTGACAAATCCGTGGCTGCTAAAACGGTTTTCCCGAAAGAAAGAAACATATTCCTGGACTAAAGCTCAGCGCACTGAATAGTGAACGGGCTGCTTCCTGGAAGCAAAAACAACTTCCCTGAGCTCCGTTTTAGCAGCCACGGGTTTGCCAGCCTTCGCCTGGCTTCTGACTCTAGTTTCGAGCGTCCAAAGTCATGCGGCGCGATCCTCCGACCCCACCTACTCTGACCCCATCTGGGAGGCCTCTACTCTAGTTTCAGGTCGGGCATGTCCCCCTGCAGGCGGATGTTAGGCAAAAGTTAACCACCTGGGCAGAAAATCCTCAAAAAGTCGCCCCCAGACTATGTTCTGACAATTTTGAAGATTCATCCTGAGGAGGGGCAGGCCCGACTTCTCTACAGTGCGGGCGCGGCCGCAAGAAACCCTCGCAAGAAACCCAACCCTGATGACCCGTGCATGAGGTGCACCTGAGGGGAAACCTGGAGCACCCTGAACGCAGCAGCTCCTGCAACGGCCGCGGGAAGTCAGCGCGCAGCGCGCGGAGCAAAGAAACCCAAGATGCCCTGACGAGCAAAGAGACCCAAGAAACCCAAGAACCCCAGCGCGCCCCCACTGTAGTTTCGGACGTCCAAAGCTGTGCATCTGGCGCGCTCTCTCCCTCTCGGGAGCGGCCAAGAGGGGGGTGTCCGAGAGGGGGGGGTGCAAATCATGACCGGCGGCATGTGCGCGGCCCAGCGGGGGGGCCCAGGGACGTAGTGAAATAAGAAGGGGCGCCATGAAATCTGCGGAAATACCATGGTCCCCGCCATGCTATCCACCCCCCCTAGTCATCACCCCCCTCTTTTCGGGGATGGACAGACCCCCCTTTAGTAAAACGTGGTTTAGTAAAAACGACCTGAGGCCCAAACCTGGCGGGCGCAAGCCTGGAAAATAACGGCCACGGCGCCCTCTCGAGAACCGCAAACGGACAATTCACTAATCGACGTGTCACTGTTGGGAGGTCTGTCCACCCCCCATCTTTTCCGCCCCCGACCCTCGGCGGGTCCGGCGCTGCATGCGGCGCCGCTGCGTGCGGGTCGGCGGCGAGAGCCCCGGGGAGGGCAGCTCGGAGCTGCTGGCGCTGCCCTGCTCGGAGCACGCCGTGGGCGCCAGGCGCCCGGGCCACGGGACCTCCCGCGGGGCGAACGAAGGAAACGTGTGCGCGCTTTCTTGCTCGGCGCCTCGAGACCTTTCGTGCACGGACCTCAACGAGGGCTTCCACCCGGGGCGGTTTTCGCCCTCGCCACTTCGTATTCAGGCGCCAGGCGCCCGGGCCACGGGACCTCTCGCGGGGCGGAAAGAAGAAACGTGTGGGCAAAAAAGTCTGCACGAAATGCACCTCGACATCCAGAGCGCAATTCTCCAGGCTCCGGGCCCATCCTATGGTTTTTCTGGACGGAATCCGCTCTGCGATGTTGGCGCCATGGCGAGTGCCTCCCCCTCTTGTCCCCTGCTGGCTCTCGTGTCTCACCTCGGACCTCTGGCGCGGCAGTGCGCGGGGGACGACCCCGGGCATCCCCCTGGAACGCTCCAGGCGAGGCGCAGCCGCTGGAAGGTGAGCGTTTTTTTACTCGGCGTTTCGACATTGGGCGGAAAAGGGGGGGGGGGAGAGGGGGGTTGTCTGGCTCCGGACCTCTGCTTAGCACGGCTGTTTGCAGAAGTGCGTCCTATGGGGGAGGGACTCCACCCGCTCGAGACGGGCGCCCAAAAATTGGCCAAGATCTGCTCCATGGGGGGGAGGGGGAAGGGGGGGTTTGGGAAGCCAGCGCCGATCGGCAAAGCAATGAATGAAAAAACGATTACCATGTCCTTGGATGCTTGGGAATGGACACCAACACCAGCACAGGGGGTTTGCCTCCACAGGGGGAACAGTATCCTCGATTTCGGTGTTGGTGGTAGTCTTTCGGCCACCTAGGAAGCCCGAATATGACCACCATCACCGGCATCGGGATCATTTTCCCTCGGTGGAGGCACACAGCGGATTTTGGTGTTGTTGTCAACCTCTAGGTGTCCGCAGCCTCGCTTGCCAGCCCGAAACATATATTCCTGAGGAGGGTATCACCCTGCCTCGATGCCGATCTCAAGGATTGCCTCGGTTTCTGAGGACGCATCCCTAAGATGATGGTCGTCGCCTTGCTTGGCCCGTCAATCACTCAGGGATGGGGATAAACAGGGGGTCACATGCGAACCCTGCCCCTACCCCCCACGATTGTTGAGGAGGAGGGTGGGGTTCACTTCGCTCGTGAGCTCCCGAACGAAGTGAACCCCACCCTCCCCCTCAGAAATCGTGGGGGGTAGGGGTAATGGAGGATGACGATTAATAAATGACCGGGGGTCGTGTTCACGCGGCGGCGCCCGGGATGACGATTAGAAAAAACCGGCCGCGGGCTGGAAAACCAATCTTTTTAATCGTTCTCCTCCAGTCAGAACATTGTGCAGAAATAGCAGAAAACTAGTTTTTTAATCGTTCTCTCCCATTTTTCTTATTAATCGTCATCCCGCACTAGGGTTCGCATATGGCCCCCTAATAAAGGAGTTCGAGGCCAGTTACTCGAGAGCCGCTGGGTGAGCCTTCATGGGAGCCTCCCTGGACCTCCGCGGCCCGTGATTCCGCCTGGGGCCGTCCGGGCATCGACAATCCCTCTTCGCCCGATGGTCCAGATTCGTCGAGATTTGGGCAAGGTGTCGAGCAGATCCGATGACGTGTGGGCGAAAACTCCAAGGAATTGGGGGAGGAGGAGGAGGAGGAGGAGGAGGAGGAGGAGGAGGGAGGAGGAGGAGGAGGAGGGAGGAGAGGGAGGAGGGAGGAGAGGAGGAGGAGAGGAGGAGGGAGAGGAGGGGAGGAGAGGGAGGAGGGAGGAGGAGAGGGAGGAGGGAGAAGAGGGAGGAGGGAGGAGAGGGAGGAGGGAGGAGAGGGAGGAGGGAGGAGAGGGAGGAGGGAGGAGAGGGAGGAGGGAGGAGAGGGAGGAGGGAGGAGAGGGAGGAGGGAGGAGGGAGGAGGGAGGAGGGAGGAGGGAGGAGGGACCCTCTGAGGCTCCCATGAAGGACCAGGCCGGGGCCGGGCCCCTGGGACGCGATGCCCCGCGGATACGGGGCGCTCTGTCGCGGATGCCCCCGCGCGGAACGCACCCGTGCGTATCCGCGGGATTCGGGGATGGACAGACCCCCCTTTAGCAAAACGTGGTTTAGTGAAAACGACCTCGGGCCCAAATCTGGCGGGCGCAAGCCTGGAAAATAACGGCCACGGCGCCCTCTCGAAAATCGAAAACGGACAATTCACTAATCGACGTGTCACTATTGGGGGTTCTGTCCAGCCCCGAGGGATCGCGCCCCAGAAGCCAGACCGCCAGGGCGTGGGTGTGGGTACGTTTGCCGCTCGTGCACCTCTTCCTCGCTGGGGAGGAGCGTCACCTTGAGGTGGAGAAAAAGCGCCACGAACATCAGCGAGAGCGCTGCTTCATCTTTTTCGCGATAGCGGCCGTTACCAGCCCCGGCCGCCCCCCCAAAGTAACGTCACGATTCGTGCTGACGTCCGAGCTGTCATTGGTTACTCCGTTATTCCTACACATTCCCAGACGGCGCTGGCGCGAAACGTGACGTCACCGCTCCCCCACTCCTCCCCCCCAGTAACGCCCGCTATCGCCCAGGAAGAACAAACGCTCTCAACTTCTGAAGCTCCGCAAGAGAGCCCTCATCGCCACGGCCGGAAACTCCTCGAGGTTCTGGTCAGAGCTCACCCTGGGAGGGGTCTGGGGAGTGGCGGTATCAGAATCTTCGTCCCCCAAAAATGCATGAACACAGACTTTCGGAGGTCCACGCGGATTGCTTGGATCGGCGCTGGGCCCCCCTGGCGGCGCCAGAGGCGCCGCCCTTGGCGCGCTCCGCGCGCCAGCGAAGGGGGGAGGGGCCCAGCGCCGATGCGAGAAAGCCGCACGGATCTCCAGAAGTGCATGTGCATGCCGTTCTTTCTTCTCCGAACCTTGGCTGGCTCTCGCCACCGCTCGCCCTCGAAGCTCCTCGGGGGGCGACGTCGGAGGGGATGTGGAGGGCTCGCCTCGTGACGACGTCGCCCTCGGCCTCTGACACCGCATGAGTCGTTCGATCTTGAGATCGTCCGGTTCCGAGCCGATTGCGGCGTTCAACCTACAGCGCCCGCACTGTGGCCGCCGCCGCGGCGACCACGACACGAACCAACCGTCGGCTCAGGGGGGGGGGGACACGTCAACCCCCAATCGCCCACTCATGGGCCTCACAGCCCAGCCCCGCCCAGGACGGCAGGAGAGCCCAGAATCGAATCGACAAGTCGGATCGGCGATCGAAATGGATCGGATCGGCGGAAATCGGCGGCCGAGCTGGAAAAAGTCGAATCGGCGGAAATCGGCAGGCTTGTATGCGTCCAGTGAGAAATCGGAACCCAAATCAGAACCCTGGCGGTGGACAAACCTCCCTTTAGTAAACCTCCCCTTAGTGAAAGCGGCCCAGGACCGAAACCGACGGACCTGGACCCGCAAAAATGACGGCCGCGACGCCCTCTCGCGAACCGAAAACGGCCAATTCCCTAATCGACGTGTCAGGGTAGGAGGTCTGTCCACCCCTGGCCATCGCTCGGACGTCCATTCCCTGTGTTTTTTTCGGCTTCGTGCGTGGCTTTTTCGCCAAATGATCAAGGATGCTCCTCGATGGTCCTCACCGAAGGAAAAGTGCACACGTCCGAGCGATGCCAAGACCACCGACAAACCAGAACCCCAAATCGCATCGAATCGGAAGCGGAAGCCATCGAAATCAAATCGAGTCGAACCGGAGGAGTCGAGATGACTACCTACCAGACCACCCCAACCCAACCCGAAGACCCCAATTTCGGGGTGGGGGGGTACGGGCTCCATGTGTGTTTTCTCAGTGTTCCCCAACCCCCCCCCCAACTGGAAATGGAGGGCAAACTGAGGCCTTCGGGTTGGGTTGGGGTGGTCTGGTGGGGGGAGTCGAGAGGAGGAGGAGGATGAGGAGGAGGAGGAGGCGGAGGAGGCGGAGGAGGAGGAGGAGGAGGAGGCGGAGGAGTCGAGAGGAGCCCTGGGACGGGCGACTCCGCCGTCGAAGGCCCCTCGCGCCCACCTGTCGGGGTGCACCGCCGACGCCAGGCGAGCGCCACTGCACCGATTGTGATGTTCCAACCTCTCCTCCTCTCCTCCTCCTCCTCCTCCTTCCCCCCCCTCCTCCCCCCCCTCCTCCTCCTCCTTCTCCTCCTCCTCCTCCTCCTCCTTCTCCTCCTGCTCGAGGGGTCATGGGTCCCCCCCTCGCTCGCCGCCGACCCAGCGCCACAGTTCTCGTGACGTGGGCTTCCTCGATCAAGGCTTATGATGCTCCAACCTATACTTCAGCCTTGATCACCAGGAAGAATTTCGAGCGCCCAAAAAAATGCCGAAACTCAAGGGTTTTCACCTGTCGGGCCCTGGGAGGCACTCGCCCGACACTGCTTCGACACTGCTTCGACACTCTTTTGGCACTTTTCCAGGTGCTCGAAATTGTTTCTGGGATGCGGTCCTGAAGTTGGATGGGAACAGCATAATGCACCGATCTTGCAGACGTGCCGCAGCGGATTTTTGCGTGGGTTTCCTGCCACTGCAAAACCTCGAAACGGCGAGTGCAAAACTACGTAAATTTCGCGTGGATTATCTTTAGTCTTCCCTCCTAGCCAAAAAAATCTGCGCGAAATGCACCTCGACATCCAGAGCGCAATTCTCCAGGACACTCTGGGCCCATCCTATGGTTTTTCTGGGCGGAATCCGCTCTGCGATGTTGGCGCCATGGCGAGTGCCTCCCCCTCTGCGCCTGTCCCCTGCTGGCTCTCGTGTCTCACCTCGGACCTCTGGCGCGGCAGTGCGCGGGGGACGACCCCGGGCATCCCCCCGGAACGCTCCAGGCGAGGCGCAGCCGCTGGAAGGTGAGCGTTTCTTTACTCGGCGTTTCGACATTGGGCGAAAGGGGGGGGGGAGAGGGGGGTTGTCTGGCTCCGGGCCTCTGCTTAGCGCGGCTGTTTGCAGAAGTACGTCCTATGGGGGAGAAGCTCCACCTGCTCGAGACAGGTCCCAAAACAGCCAAGATCTACTTCATGGGAGGGGGGGAAGGGGGGTGCGAGGGCCCGCGCCGGTCGGCAAAACAATGAATAAAAAAACGACCACAAGGCATCCCGATGCTTAACAGCCGCCGAGAACCAACGGAAAAGTCCGAAAACCTCAGACCTCGGACCGCGCACCTCGGACCTCCCCCTCAGTCGGTCGTCAGGAGCGAGGAAAATCGGCACCACCACCACCACAGACCACCAGCGGAAGGAGCCAGGGGGGGTCCCCCTGGTGGTTTGGTCCACCCCCCCTCTCGCTCGAGACATCCCCTACTCCAAGCTCAGGAGGAGGAGGAGGAGGAGGAAGAGGAGGAGGTGGCCGCACTGGTGGTGGTGGTGCTGCTGCTGTCGCTTATCCTTCCCCCGATATACCGTTGCCCCTCGCGTTGGAGGCGGCCAGGGGGACTGAGTTGGTTGCGCCCCGAGAGAAACAATCAAGCGGGAGGAATGAAGCCAAATCCGCTCAAAACCGGCCCCCAGGCCCCAGGCCCATCCTGGGGTCCACCTGGTGTAGTTTTTCAACCTGCATCCGTTTTTGACGGTCCCGGGGCCAGAAAAAAAACTCCCCTGGATACCCCCAAACATATTCGCTGGCGTAACGGGCCAGAGGCGTGCTAAGATCTCTGGTAACCAGTAAACAGTACCTATACGACCACCCTTCGGGTGAGAACGAGGTTGGGGGGTGGGGGAAAAGAACCAACTGCTGGTAACGCGCCCTCGAGTTCGCGACGACGCGTGATGACGAAACTGCGCTGCGATGTAATGTCATGATCGCTCTCGCTACCGATCTCGCTTTTGATCTCACTATCGATATCACTCTCGATCTCGCTCTCGATTCCTCTGTGTCGATCACGCTGTCAATCCGCCGATCCGGCGTGTGAGTTTCAAGGAGTCTCAGCTACAGCCTCGAGGCTGAGCCTCAGCCTCTGAAGGGGGTGCCGGGGTGGCTCTGCCGGGGAAGGGGGGGTGGGGGGGGGAGGGGGGGGGGAGTTTCCGACGGATGCGTTTTTTGACACCCCTCACAAGGATCGTGGCCTCCGAAGGGGGTTCCGAACTCGAGTACCACCCCTCCCGCACCAAGAGGCTCCGAGGAGGCCTCCAAGAGGCCCCCAAGGGGCGCAGAAGAGGCCCCCAAGAAGCCCCAAGAGGCTCCCAAGAGACCCCCAAGAGGCCCTCTAGTGGCCCCAAAAGGCCCAAGAGGCCCCCAAGAAGCCCCAAGAGGCGCCCAAGAGGCCCCCAGAAGTCCCAGCCAACCACGAGATCCCAACCAGCATCCATGAGGCCTCTGACCCACCACCCACGCACGGTGGCGGGATAGGCCGACGGCCACTGGATAAATGCTGAGTGAGAGGAGGGGAGGGAAAAAGAGAGGAAGGACGAAGGCGAAGAAGGGTCACATCAGTCGGAGCGCCCTGGATCGGCGGCACTGGCCGAAGGCCACTACAATATCACAACTGATGCCACAATCCACCTCACTGTCGATCTCACTTTTGATCCCACATTCCATCCCATCCTGGCGATCTCGCGTATCGATCCCCATGTCGACGTCACCACATCGACTCCAAGGCGGGAAAGACCCGGCCACCGCCCGCCCTCCGCCGACGGAACACCGCCGGGACACCAGCGGGACACCAACGGGACACCACGGCGGGCCACCCTGGGCCACCGCGCACAGGGGGGCGGAGGGGCGGCCCACTGCATCCTAGTCGCCCTAGCGACGGCGGGGTCGTTCCTCGCGCGCGCCCACGCGGCTTCGCCTCGCCCGCACGCACGACACGAAGACGAAACCGAAACCGATTTCCCAGTAGGGGCCTCCGTTCCACTGCGATCTCACCCCCCAACCTGCCATTTCTAGTTCGCGCGCGCGAAGCGGTCCCTGGGGGTCCCACCAAAATTCGCCAGACGAAGGACCGAACCATATGCAGGTGCGAGTACCGCAACTGTGATTCCCTTCTTCGGTGGTGATCCCTATGGGGCAACGAACCGTGCTAGTGGTGTGTCGAAGTGAATGGCGTGGTACACAACGCGAACGAAAACGATTGATCTGAGTACGTAGGGAGACTGAGCGCGGGTGAATCTGAGCGCGAGTGCGTCTGACTGTGAATGAATCTGCGTGCGAGCGAGTCTACGTGCACGAATGCGAGTATGCCAATGCACGGTGCAATTATATATGAATGCAAATAATTTGTGAACGACTGCCTCTGAGTACTCGCGACGCTGGGCGTGGCCGCCGCAAGGAGCTTCCCCGGGACTCCCCGACGGCATCGCCCGCGCGCCGCGACGCCACCGCGAGGATCGCGCCCGCTTCCTCCCCTTCTTTTACTCCCTCTTTGCCCGCGCACTCGAAAGTCCAAAGCTGCGGGCGCAGCGCAGCGCGGAGTCCCAGCGACGCGCGCAGGTCGCCCCAGAGGGGTCCGCTGCGCGCAGCAAAGAGAGCTAGCTGGCTGGCTGATAGCGGGCAAGGCTCTTGCCGTTGGGCAGGGCGACGACGGGCGAGGGAGGCGCGAAACTCCGACGGCCTCCGACGGAGGTGTACTGGGTGGGGGAGACGCGTGCGGACTGCGCCACGGGGACCTTCGGTGGAGCTCCCTATGGGGCCACGAAACGCGTGAAGGGTGTGCCGAAATGGGTGTGCGGGACGAATGCGGGCACACCCACTGGGACCTTCGGTGGAGCTCCGTATGGGGCCACGAAACGTGTGAGGGGTGTGCCGAAATGGGTGTGCGGGACGCATGCGGGCACACCCACTGGGACCTTCGGTGGAGCTCCCCTATGGGGCCACGGAACGTGTGAGGGGTGTGCCAAAATGGGTGTGCGGGACGCATGCGGGCACACCCACTGGGACCTTCGGTGGAGCTCCCTATGGGGCACGAGGATGAAAAGCGTTGGGCGAAATGGGGTGTGCGGGACGCTTGCGGGACCACCCCTGGGAACCTTCGGTGGAGCCCCTTTGGGGCAAGAAACGTGTGAGGGGTGGCCGAAATGGGTGTGCGGGACGCATGCGGGCACACCCACGGGGACCTTCGGTTGGGGCTCCCTATGGGGCCACGAAACGTGTGAGGGTTTGTGACGCAACATGGGACCCGTATGGGGCCACGAAACGTGTGAGGGGTGTGCCTAAATGGGTGTGCGGGACGCATGCGGGCACACCCACTGAGGACCTTCGGTGGAGCTCCCTATGGGGCCACGAGACGTGCGGGGGGTGTGCCGAAATGGGCGTGCGGGACGCATGCGGGCACGCCCACTGGGACCTTCGACTGAGCTCCGTATGGGGCCACGAAACGTGCGAGGGGTGTGCGTAAATGGGCGTGCGGGACGCATGCGGGCACACCCGCTGGGACCTTCGGTGGAGCTCCCTATGGGGCCACGAAACGTGTGAGGGGTGTGCCGAAATGGGTGTGCGGGACGCATGCAGCACACCCACTGGGACCTTCGGTGGAGCTCCCTATGGTGGCACGAAACGTGTGAGGGGTGGGCCGAAATTGGTGTGCGGGACGCATGCGGGCACACCCACTGGGACCTTCGGTGGAACTCCCTATGGGGCCACGAAACGTGTGAGGGGTGTGCCGAAATGGGTGTGCGGGACGCATGCGGGCACACCCACTGGGACCTTCGGTGGAGCTCCCTATGGGGCCACGAAACGTGTGAGGGGTGTGCCGAAATGGGTGTGCGGGACGCATGCGGGCACACCCACTGGGGCCTTCGGTGGAGCTCCCTATGGGGCCACGAAACGTGTGAGGGGTGTGCCGAGATGGGTGTGCGGGACGCATGCGGGCACACCCACTGGGAGGGGGGCAGCGGGAGGAAGGTGGGAACGCGGGGCGCTGTCTCTTCAAAACGAGGACCCAACACCACAGGATGGTTGGGAAAACACCCTGGAAGAAGCCCGGCCAAGTCGGTTCAGAGATGGCTTTCCTCCTGAGTGCGGCTTTTCAAGCGCCCCAGAGCGCTCCAGGAAGACCCCAAGAGGCCCCCAAGACGGTCCAAGAGGGCTCCGAGTCGCCGACCGATCCGTCCAAGACGCCCATGGCCTCCAGACGGCCGAAGGCGCCTCCAAGACGCCCCAAGAGGCCTCCAAGAGGCGTCCCAAGAGGGCCCCTCGAGGCCAATGTCCCTGAAAGACTTGCGCGTTCTCGCCTTTTCGGCTTTCCCGCGCTCCAAGACGGCCCAAGATCGCCCTATCGGCGGTTGAAAAACCTCCCTTCAGTAAACCTCCCCTCAATGAAAACGGCCTGGGCCCGAAACCGACGGACCTGGACCCGCAAAAATGACGGCCGCGAGGCCCTCTCGCGAACCGAAAGCGGCCGACTCCTTAATCGACGTGTCAGGGTAGGAGGCCTATCCACCTCCGACCCTAAGAGGCCTTCAACAGGGCCCCAAAACGGCCCAAGAGGGCCCACCTGGCCCAAGAGGCCGCCAAGACGGCCCAAGAGGCCCCGAAGACGGCTCCAGCAGGCGGCCCACACGGGGGGACCCGGAAGCGGCTCCCCAAGGAGGCCCCCAAGAGGCCCCAGGAGGCCCCCAAAGAGGGCCCTAAGGCGCCCCCAAAAAGTTCCCCAGGGGTCCCAAGTGAGACCCCAGGGTGTCCCAAAAATACCGCCGAGGGGCCCCCGGGGAGGTCTCCCAAGGACCCCAAGAAGCCTCCTGCTACCCTCCCCGAGCATGCTCAACTCGTATGCAGACGGACGCAAGATCCCGCAATATTCGTCGTAGACCTGGCCGGGTGAAGTCCAACATCCTCGCAAAAACAGCAACACACACACAAGAAGTTCCAACGTAGCTGCAAACGGACCCCAAACGAGCACCCGAATGGCCCAACAGCGGAACTCCGTACGTGACGAGCCCAAATCTATGATTGACAAGCCCAACCCGCGATGATGCCGCATACCCATGGCGGCCCCAAAACAAGCCCCGCAGAAGCAACTACACAGGAGCTGCTCCACCTTCAAGACTGCGGACGCAACCCCGCTGGAAAACGACCACCGCCCAACAGCGCAACATGGGCAACGAACGCACGGGCAAAAGCCAGCGATGCCACATCAGGGGCCGGCGGAATGAGCGAATTCCTCGAGCCCCGAA